TGAAATTATATGCCTAATATTGCTCATTAGTCCACAAACGAAGCATTTTCCCTAAGAAACTGAATGAAATAACCTTCCTATATACAAGAAAGATGTGAAACCTTGATGAAAATGTTGATCAGGGCAAGTCCAAAAGTGAAGTTTTTTACCTTGTAAGAAAACAAATGGTCTCTGTGTCAGAAGCAAGGCGAGCAACAGAAGAAAAAGAGAAAGAGGAAGACGAAAGGGGATGAAGCTCTTGTCGCTGACAGTAAGAGCCGCTTGGAGAGAGCATTAGCGTAGAGGAAGATAGAGAGAGGCAGAGAGAAAGAAAGAGTCGGAGAGAGAAAAATTCAAGAAAACGACAAAATACATAAACAAAAACTTTAAACAGTGAAATGTGAGTAAGTGCACAGTAAGCAAACTTTGCTTTCTCATACAGTTACTAGTGGGAGCCCACGTACTTAGCACGTGTGAGGCTCAATATGAGAGTTAAATTTTTTATTTAAAGACTAATTTTGAGTTCTTGAATTCCATTATACTAAAATCAAAATGGAAACAGATGTTCTGTATTACAAATTGTATCTGCCTGCCTTCAAAAAGGGGGAAAAAATGGTATCCTCCTCAATCTAAATCACATTAGACATGTACACTGAGATGACTAAAAATCAGTACCTCCACTTAACTACATGAACTAAATTTTCTGCTATGAGGAAAATCACGTTAGACATTTCTTTTCTTTTTAACCTTTTTCTTTCTTTATTTTGTTTCAAAACAAATGAAAGCTAACAAATAACAAATGAACACTCACTGAAACAATTTAGCAAACACTTACAGCAAACCTTAATTGAACCCAAAACACATACATAACGTTGACATCTAATTCAAATGGAAATCAATCATAACTATCCTACTCTCTTTCAATAAAGTTTCAAATTTGTTCATGGAGTAGAATTAAGAAACACGGTAACCCAAAATAGCTAAATGCATTGTGCTTGATTTCTAGTACCAAAAAAAAAAAAAAAAAACACACACACACACACACAAGAAGGAATTAGAAAATCTCACCTTTGAAGCTGTTGGATTCGAAGGCACCACTTTCATATTCTTCAGCTTCTGACAACAAGGAGTATGAGTGAACTTTCAAGGAATATTGAGCTGGAGGAATTTATCTTTTGGTTCTTGATATTTCTGCAAGAAATAACAATTTTTCAAATTACTATATATAATTATCCCAATTAGATCTAGGCCTTCAGGAAAGTATAATTTCGAACAGAACCGTGTGAAAAAGTGAAATCTATATAGCCGACCCTAATTAAGTTAGGATTAAGGCTTGTTGTTGTTGTTGTTGTACTATATATAATTACCCATAATGAAGTACTCATAATTTGTCTCAAATTACTCTTTTCCTCAAGAGACAATGAAGCAAGCAAAATGGAACAGGATATACATATCTTTATAGTTAATAAAAACATCATGATCGTTGCATCCATTTAGGTGGGAAAAGAGAAGAGAAAAAAAACAAAAAAAAAAGAGTGAAACTATGTTCCTAATATTGCTCATTAGTCCACAAACGAAGCATTTTCCCTAGGAAACTGAATGAAATAACCTTCCTATATACAAGAAAGATGTGAAACCTTGATGAAAATGTTGATTAGGGCAAGTCCAAAAGTGAAGTTTTTTACCTTGTAAGAAAACAAATGGTCTCTGTGTCAGAAGCAAGGCGAGCAACAGAAGAAAAAGAGAAAGAGGAAGACGAAAGGGGATGAAGCTCTTGTCGCTGACAGTAAGAGCCGCTTGGAGAGAGCATTAGCGTAGAGGAAGATAGAGAGAGGCAGAGAGAAAGAAAGAGTCGGAGAGAGAAAAATTCAAGAAAACGACAAAATACATAAACAAAAACTTTAAACAGTGAAATGTGAGTAAGTGCACAGTAAGCAAACTTTGCTTTCTCATACAGTTACTAGTGGGAGCCCACGTACTTAGCACGTGTGAGGCTCAATATGAGAGTTAAATTTTTTATTTAAAGACTAATTTTGAGTTCTTGAATTCCATTATACAAATATTATTTTATTATTTTTATTTTCAATAAATAAATGGCGAGTAAAAAAAATAAATTTATTTTGTAAACATGATAGGACTATGTTACTAGGAATAAGTATTCTAACATAATCAATTCATGGTCATTACAGAATGAATTCAAGCAGTCCCAAATTTTTATTGCCTTACAAGTCATGAGTAGCATGTTAAATAATGAATTTTAAATGGCGGACATCACATAACTAATTTTGAATATTCATATTCTTGTGTCATCTATGGGTCAAACAAAAACATTCGAATTTTTATAGTAACATCCAAGATTAAACCAAAAACCAGTATTTAAGTCATTCAAAGACAACCATTAAAGCTATTTGAAGGAAAAAAAGAAAAAAAAAAAAAAAGAAACTTTCACTCCATGGCAAATGAACAGTGACACGTTAGTCCTCTAGAAGTGTCTTTGACAAGCGCATTGAATATGCAGATTGAGCAAGAATATTTTATAATGGCATTAAAGAAGTATGTTCGGTCAGCATATTTAGCATGCATATTCAATAAAATCATTTTAATAAGCATATCCATTAATAAGTCAATTAGATAAAGCCATTCAGCAAACATTGAATAAAATCATATAACAAACCATTAAGTAGACCATTTAGCAAACCATGAATAAAACCATATAGCAAACCATATAGAAAATCATTTAGGGAACTAAAAAAAATACTAAAATGTATAACTTATTTGCCAACATATAGAGAGGAAGAAATAAGAAATAAGCTGAAGATGCAACTGCAATGATAAGGGAAAGGAGATAGAGTGGGCCTTGCGTGATCAGATGTGCAACAATCTTGCTGTCCCAACTGTGTTCATTGAATAAATGTCAATCTGGTTCTAAAATTCTTGTCATTATCAGGGAAAAAAACACAACAATCAACATAAGAATTGCATCAGTTTTATGCACTCCAATTTTAACATATGACATTATGTATTTTTTCCTCAATTGCTTTTTTGATTTCATCGTTCTAGTCATGATATGAAACAATGCTAGTTATGTAAAAAAAAGAAAATGTAACCTTCTAATTTCGAAGATAAAATGTCTACACTAAAATTGACATTCCAAAATAGCAACAGCAATGAAAAAAGTTCAAAAAACTGATAACAAAACAAAAGCAGCTTCATATCGCAAATGGAGTTAAACGCCCGAAGATTTTTCCCTTTTTTCTTAATTTTAAATTACAAACATGTAAATCAAATCTGTAAATTGAGAGAAATAGCAGTTTAACTAGTATGACATGACCTGTAGTTTAATGGGCTTAACACGTGAATTACCAAAAACAAGTTTAGCCTCAGAATTACCGTGCTAAATAAATACAACAATAAATAGATTTTTTTATCATCAAGGGATAGTATTACCCAATTTTTATTCCATGGCATTTGTATCGACATAAATTCTTGACTCCACATCAGCTGTACTTGTATAATCTCTTGATAACAAGCGCTTGTTCATTGAGCTAACTCCATGGTGGTAAGGCCACATGCCACAAGCATGCTTGTCTTCCCTTGTATGGTTATGATCACCAATAATAGCAGAAAAAATACCAAGCCTATGAAAACCTCCTATTATCATAACAAATTTATAGTGTTCGCAATACTTTTGTTTAAACTCATATTGAATGAGACTATTATTGAGATAATAAACAAAAACAAACAAAACAAAAAAATCAGAAGCAAAGAAAGGACAAAATATGTTATGGATTTAGAATTAGGAATAAAGCAAAACAATACAATGAATGTAAAGATTAATATAAAGGTGTACGGCGTAATAATAAAGAAGAAAAGAATGGTGTGGTTGAATTTAATATGTATAGAAAAAACATCAGCACATGCATTTATTGATTTTAATATCAATGAGAAAGCATATTAAAGCATATATAATATCAATTAATAACAACACTGTTTATGAAGATATGGCTAATTAAACATGAAAGGATTGTAATGATCAATTAGAAGAGAATTAAAATTATGAGACCTTACAAAGTTAGATAACAATAAAAAAAAAGTGAAAGTGAAATCACATTGATCGGGATGAATTAACACAGACATGGAAAGCAATCAAAGTTAAATATAATAGATTTCATGAAAATCAATAATGTGGATTAAGATCGAGTACAAAATTAAAAAACAATCACAAGCGTTTAAACTAACAGATAGTGAACAACTATAGTAAAAAAACAAAAAAAAAAAACAAAATCCTATGAATCACAAACCAAAACAAAAGATGGAAAGAAGAAACAGATCTTAGAAAGACAAGGATGTACCTTAGCGACATTGTAATATCCAAATGCTGGGTTCTTCGCCAACGAGATTAAAAA